CCATAGTGTTGCTGGGCATGAACTGTGAAGGTAATGCTACTGTGCAACAACAGTACTGTGCAGTAATGCTGGTTACTGTGCAGTTATTTAGTACTTGGTTAAGCATGTACTGTACTAAATGACTGTGCACTAAAAACTGAGCAGTCCGCTGCTCATATAGATGAAAACACTGTCACTCGTACTCTCGCTGTTGTATTAATTAGCCAGCATAAATTCACTAAGAACATGGTTATTCTATGTCCATTTTAGCAAGTAGCCCACTTGAAGATGCTGCCAGACCCAGTAAGTTTACCATGTGTAGGCAGCCTCTGAATTTTCCCTAGCTCAACTCCGTCTTCCAAGCACAACTACTCCATCAAGGTCATACTACTCCCATGGCTGAAACTGCCCCTTTAACCCTTGGGCATAATTTCAGTGAAAAAAGATAACACAGCCCTTATTTTTATTTTCTGCATAAGCTCCACAGCACCAGGCAACATTAATCATTCCTCTTGCTATGGATTTTAAGAACATTTCAAATAAAAACTCTAGTTCTTTAAAATTCCTTCCTCATTGTCTGCTTCAGCACAGCCACCCAGGACACACCCCGTACCAAAACTGTATGTTTCCTTGATGCACCTTGCCTTTGTCATCTTCTCTGTCCCTTGTTTCATCTACCCCACTTACACACTAGAGTAGACAGCAGTTCCTTCATTTCCTTAGCTGTCTCCCCTGCAGGTAGTGCATCTGCTGCTAGTGCCTTCTCTTCCAATTCCTATCTCATCCCTGTCCTTTGTTCACTGTCCCTTCTGCCAGTGTTTTATTCTGAAAATATAATCTCTTCTGCTTTCTCCCATTACTGGTTCTCTTTTAGTTCCAAGGTCTTTTAGAAAAACCAGTGAACCAGGCATACTTTCCAGTTGTTGTAGGAAAGAAAAACATGGAACGCTTTGCTTACGGACAGACTGAAAAGGACTGAATAATTCGGAGCATTTTCCACAACCTACAGAAATAAAAATTCTGATAAAAAATACAGGTGCCAAATATTTTTCTACACGTGATGCACCAGCAACATGCTGTCTGGTCTTCTTGGAGAAGCAGAGTACATGTTTGTATACATTCAACACCCTCTTTGGAGATACTATTTCTTCACACTGCCATTTGGGTTGTGTGTGGAACTGAGGTGCTTCACTGCAAAATACTGCAAATTTTGCATTGTGTGGAGGATTCTAAGTTCTCATTGGATGATGATTTGGACAAAAACAGTAAAAGAACATTACTACAACCTCCAAGCAACATTGGTATGAAAAGAAATAGCATATCTAAGAGGAAAACTAACACAGCAAGGGATACAGGTAGAATACAGAAAGGTTGAGGTCATCACCAACAAGCTTGCCCCAGTAGACATGGTAGGGATACAAAGATTCCTTGGAATGATGAATTATGCAAGTAAATTTGTGTCTAATGTAGCTGTCCCCATTTGAGTGCATTACAGTGCAATGATGTTAAAATGCTTCAGTCCTGAGGTGCTTACAGTAAACACAAATACTTTCAAAAAAGATTTTGGCACAAAAAGAACTAGTAGATTTATAAGTGCCTGAGAACAGTTGTACAGATATCTCAGGTGGGCGGGGTGGGGGGGAAACAGGACGGGATGTAACGGACCTGGAAGTCCACAAACAGTACAGGGTAAATTGCTAGTTAGTTTAATTAATAAATTCATTATATATTTTGAAATTCTGTATTCTGTTAATGCGGCTTGTTAACTGTTTTGCTGTTAAAAGAAAGTGTGGAGAACTGCACCATTAAGTGGCTCTGGGATGCACAGCTTTATGCTATGATGAATTAGAACAGAGAATGCAGCAGAATTATCACATTCATTGGCTCTCAGTAGTTTCTGAACAATGGACTGCCCTCCTGACTGTTTCATTCATTCCCAGCACATCCCAGTCTCTAAATATATTAGAAAGAAAATCACTAGGAAAAAAAAAGATTCTATGGTCCCTGGTCCATTACCCACAATCCATTTCATCCCTACATTGTTTCAGAGGCTAACTCATGTACAACGCATCACTCTTCTCGCAAAGTTAGGAACTGAATCTCAATATCTATTGCTTTGTCCCTGTTTCTCTTTCTTCATCCTCACTGCTGTCCTATCTCCCACCTTCCATGTTCAGGTGGCCTTCTTACACAGCATGAAACAAGTTACCTTGGCTCACACAGTTCCCCTCATTACTCAACTGAAAGAAACTAAGCATGTGAAGTAGATCTTGTGAAATCCCTATCAAACTAAACAAGTAAATTATGATGGTTTTTTACCATCTACCAGTTGTTATGGATATTGCAGTATTTAGAGTTATTTAAAACAACTGTAGATTAGTTAAATGTCAGTCTCATAGCAACTACCGAACCTTTAGCATATCTTTGTGTATATGACAGTTCCAACTAAGACATAATCACTTAAAAACATGCTTTTAAAAGACACATTTCTTTTCCTTTGTTACTACATCCAAACTGGATGTCTTTTAAAATTCCCAGGTTACTTTTTTACTATTAATTATCTTTGTCACTTTTTACCTTACTCCATCTTTGAGGATGAAATGAATTAAGACAATTTTTGTTTGAACTGCTCATTTTCAAGTTCTACATGCTGTGGTATTTGGGTCATACAAACTGCAGGTGAGTTAGTTTAAAAACAGCTGTTTCTTTCTTCCTTCCTCTTTTTTTCTTTCTGATAGACAGCTGTTGAACACATCAGAAAGAAGATCTACTTAAGAGAATTTTGCACAAAAGCAAATCTGATAAAAGTGGCAATGATACAAAATGCAATGTTTGGCCAGTGTTTTAATGCTTGATGGTTATAGTGAATGCAAGCCCTGCACCTCACTTAATCCCACATAGGAGCTATCTTGGGCACTACAACCACAAAGAAACCTCAGTTCATCATTTTTTCTTTCACAGAAATCTATGCAGACTGGCACAGAAGGCTGTGATAAGGTGTGTGGGGGGAGGCGGAGGGGGGGAAGGGAGCCAGGAATGGACATTTAAATTAAGTGAGCCCAGCAGCCTCCACAATTGATGCTGAAGGTCTATGTGCACCTACACCAGTTGATTTATAAAATGAAATAGTGGATGCAGAGGTGTTAGACACCAGCTATTATACGGCTCAGTGTTAGGCAAGCAGATTTCACCTCCTTGTCTCTGCACAGAACCCAAATACTCAGGCACAATGAAGACAGAGTGGATTTTACACTTGTGAGAGACATGAGCTTTTTTGCTTGGCTTATCCTGCAATGAGACTTAATCCTGAGTTTGACAACCTGGACATTTCATTACTGACGTCAAGGTAGATTTCTTAGATGACAAAAAAACTTTAAAAATGAACTTGAATGCAAAATTGTGGAATAAGAAATCATCCACAGACTGAATTGTGTTAAGTATGGTCTGAATGTCTACGGATTCTTATCCCATCACCTGAATTAGCTTTTTATGACCTCTTTATCCCTATGGGTTTATTACTTGTTTGCCTCTCTTGGAATCCCCTTCCCTGTCTTTTGTATTCAGATCACTCTATTTGATAAACTGTGTTGTGCATGTCTTTTCAGAGCATCTGATGAAATGAGCTCAGGGTCACAAAAGCTCATGCTATACTTCTCTGAATTAGTCTACAAAGTGCCTTAGTTAGTCTAGCCTGTCTTCAAACATGTTATTTTGCCATAAGAAGGATGTCAGTGTCATACATTTAGCGATTTACCTTTACTGCAGAATCAAATCAGAAAAAGCTGGACTTGAGAAGACTGACCTCTTTTCAAGACAAGTAGAGTCAGAAGACCTAAAAAGATGCCTTAATATAGCTGAATGATAAAGATAGGTGAATTAAAATGTAAATTATTGAAAACATGGAATTCTATATATTTTAATGCATGTCTGCTTTAAGAGCTGTGCTGAGTTCAGGCTTCACTGAAGTTGATTTTAGTGGCAAGAAGCAGAAACGAATGCAAGAGGAAGAGCTAATGAAGGGATGTTGTGAATTGTCCTTTTGAAAGAAGCCAAATACCTCTTACATTGAAGACAGCTAAAATATACACCAGTACATATGTTTCCTTAATGGATTTCTATGAATGTGATTTCTGGTTTCCATGAGGTGCTATATAGAAGCAAAGGAAGAGAATACAGTCCACAAGGGCTATACACTAAATTGTGGTCTGAACTGGAAAAAGTGTGATAATTGGTAATCTTGGGGTAAGTACCCTAGAAACTCAGCCTTCCTATTTTATATAGGTAATGGCAACTCTAGCTTTGCCCCAAATTCAGCTGCAGATGTAGGTTTTACAAATACAGATTGCACCTGCAGGAGGGAGGCTGGTCTTTTGAAAGTCTGGTCTTCAAATATGTCAGCTGCAGTAGCCTCTGAAATCAGGCATTTGTTACTTGAATAAAATCAGTTTTAAGCAATAAACATTTCTCATACATGAGTTTTGATGTTGTATAATGTGAATGCTTCTGAGGGGATCTATGACAGAGCAACTTCTCTTCTCCACAGACTATTTTAGCTGTTAAAAAACAACTTTCCTTTTTCCATTATCCTGCAAGTCCTCAGTTACACAGCACTTCCGCTAACAAATCATTTTGTTGAGACTGCAAGGTCAGGGCCGTGGAGTGCTTGGTTAATTTCACCTTTTAAGTTCATCAGCTTCTATATTATTGTTCATTTGGTGTTGGTTAGCAAGTTGAGGCTAAATTATGTTCACCTTGCACAAAAAACCCACTCTAGCCAATGGGATGCTCTTACTAAGGAAAACATGATTTGGCCCAAAGTGATACTGGGTAAGGATTTATATTTTCTGTCAAGTTCAAGACCATATATCTCTTAGTTTAAATGAATCCAGATGTCTGCTTAAAATAGAAACAAAACAGATTAATCCTTTTACACAAGGCTCACTTGATATAACATTTAGCAACAAGAAGCTTGAATTTTTTAAGGTACTTCCTTGAATGGAAAAATATAAGTTGAATCCTACCCAGAAATTGCTGACAGTTTTTGGTGTGCGTGATAAGCCATCTCGCATCCTTTGGTTCGAGTCTTGTGCATTTCAGCACGTAGAGACGGACAATTGACTGACACATCCCCAATGGAAATGACTAACTCCCGGTATAGAGCCACTTGGGTATTGAACTCCTGGACAAGCTGAAAAACAGAGATTGTTTACTTACATGAAACATTTAACTATGTTGATAAAACATTGAGGCATTTATAAAAGCAGTCAATCATGCTTCTATTTTTATTGACTTCAGTGGATACAGGATCAAATCTCTAAGGTTCAGTAAATTACTAAGGCCTTCATGCAAGCTGCTTCATCTGTACTATAACTGCTCACTTGTAGGAAGGTAATATTTCAACTCTAAACATTTGAAAGTGCTTGGGTTATTAATCTTAAATATCAAGCAGACATAAATAATAGCTTCTTTACTGTGGATAGCAAGGGATTAGTTTTCATCATCATGAAAGACAAAATATCTCCTGAAATGATTCTCTCCTCCCCCCACCCTCCCTGCTTTCTGATTAGCAGCGCATTTAGGGAGTGGAACATACCATTCATTTATGCACCGGAAACTTTACTAATTTACTTTGTAATGATTTCCTTCCTATCATTGGCCTCTAACCCAGGTTTCAGACTTGAAATTGATCTGAAGTTGTTCGCTGATAAGATGTGCTAGATAGTTACTTTCCACTTAGTATTCCAGGTAGCACCTTGTCCAGTGTGAAATAAATAGACAAAGAAGCAGATAAACCTCTCAGCCTTGCCACAGAAATATTCCAACCCAGCATCATAATATTATAATAGCTCAGACTCCCCTGGATAAATTGCTGCATTCAAAGTGTTAGAAGGACTATTATTTTGCTCCATTAATCTACCATGTATGTTTATTTTAAAGAAATAAATTGTATGCAATCTTTGGATGCAAGAAATGTATGTATGCATAGAAGTAGCTCTTACGGGGGGAAGAAGGTAACAACCTGTCTATCTTTATCCTGACAATTTTAACGCAAGTCTCTATATTTGATCAAAGCAGGAAATGAGTGAAGCCACTCCTAACTCTCCCAAAATAAAATCAGTCCTCAACACATCACAGCAAAAGAAACACCTAAAAAACCTGGATCTGGCACCTGGATGAGTTCAGTCATATTTTAGAGCCACAACCCCAAATTCAAATGCCCACAAAAAACAGCAAGTGTAGCTGCTCCTGCTGCACTAATACAATCTGGTCCCTAATGCTTGCCAATACAATAAGCTCTGTAAAGACTCAGAAACAGTACCTGAAACCCTACTCATGTGAGCTGCCAACCCCCACATTGTACAGGGAGAAGAGCAAAAGGTTCAGGTGCTTCTTCTGGTACACCTGGATACCACGAAATTTGACCTCAAGCCCCCTGTGTTCCCTGGCATAAGAGAAAGAAATGTAGCTGCAAGTACCTGAAACCGCTATATTTGTGGCATAATCATCCCACAAGAACCAGACCCAGCACCTGGATACAGATGAAGCCAGCCACATTTTTGGAGGCTTCTGTACCAACTGCCCAGACAGAGGGAAAGTGTAGCTATTTTCCGGCTGCCGAACAGCATTCTCCTGTTTTTTGCAGCACCAGCATAAAAGCCAGATTCAAGCTCCTGGATTAGACAGGGTCTTGGCAGTTTGGCCCTAACATGTTTTCCTTCAGATCCAGAAATGCCACCAGCTAAAGAATGGAGAAAACCAGCTGTTGCAATTTGACTTCTTTAAAGTGGCTGCCCCAATGCTAAGGTTGGGCACGAAGAGGAAATAGCTGGATCCACTTGTTGGATGTGTGTTTCTGGAATGGCTGTGACAGTGTGCAGTGCCATCTGGTTATTTCGAGTGCGGTAGGAGCTGCCACCCTTTCCCCTGTATTTAGACATTCAAATTTGAAAGGGGGAGGGGGGCAGGATCCAGCAGGAGATGAGCAGCTACGCACCCCTCCAATGCTGTTGGATCCAGATGCCTCAGGGTCCAGATTTTTCCAAGTCAAGGCGCAACAGCTTGCTTGGGCAGACCCTAGGCTGGCGGTCTGCACGGCTGGGGCCCGGCTCCCAGCTGCAATCAGGGCCCGTCACAGCATTTTGTGCTGCTCTTTTTGCGGGCTGCGTGGCGTCCAAATGCTCGGGGCAGGCAGAGCCCCACGAGGACATCACGGCTCGGGAAATCCGCGGGGCTGCAAGTCGGGTGGACCTGGCGCCTCCCCGCCAGCCCGGGGATTTCGGAGCCGGGGGAAGCTGCCGCGGTTGCGTCTATGTAGGGATCAATGACCGTCCGAGGCCAAACGAGCGCGGCCCCGGCGCCAGGCCCTGGCGACTGCCCGGGTGGCGGGAGTGGCTCAGTGCCTGGGGAGGGCTCGCGGCAGGGGGGGCCGGCAGGGAGGTGCCGGTGCCGGTGCCGGTGCCGGAGCCGGGCTCGCTCTCGGCCAGGGACGCGTTTGGGCCGGGGCCGGCGCTCCGCAGAGCCAAGCAGGTGCCGCCCGGGCGATACCCACCGCCTTGCAGTCCTCCAGGGCTCGCTGGCTGCGGC